GGGGGGGGGGGGGGGGGGGGGGGGGGGGGGGGGGGGGGGGGGGGGCAGCTAATTCGGCGTTCCTTGAGCAAACAAATGCCCATTGAACGCGCCCTACCTTGACGTTTATTTACATGTCCCCCACCTGCTCGCAACATCTACAGCTTTCGGCCGACTGAAGCACAGAGCACAAAAACAAGGCTGGAGTTTTTTTCCTCTTCTCCAGGTACATACTGCCTGAAAATCTTTTACTGGTACATCAAACGTTAACTAACAAGCAGCATCAGCAGCGCGCAACCGTCGACCACCTCAAAAGACGTTTTAGAGGCTTCTACAATCTCAATCAAACACGGCTCACGATTCTCAAAGACCACACTTGCATCAAAAAAATATTGAAACATGCAACGTACCATATTCACGAACTCGCCCGAGTTTCGAAGCTTCCCCTCCTGCTAAGCGTATCATGCTTGTCGTCCCTCACCCTGCGACCTGTTGTCACGATGACGCGACGATTGCTACCATACCACCGACCCGTGTACCACAAATTGTAATACCCGTCGGTGGCCTGTGCGGCTCTAGCCCCCCCCCCGTCGGTCCGCGTCACGGGGCCTCTGAGGTTGTGGTATCAACGGAAGTCACGCCATCACACCCCTCGTTCTGCTGTACCAGCAGTGACCGCCTTTACTCCGCCCAGAGGACAGCTTAAAACCAATCAACCTCTCGCACCCACGCCCCTTTCCACTGAGTAGGCGTGCTTCGACTCTACCAGCAGCACCCGCCGGTTCTCTGCTGTCGCGCGCGCTGGTCGGCTAAGTCAAGCGTCGTCCCGCCCCCCAGAGAAGGGTTAAGCGCTAAATCTCGCTCCCGTTTGCGCTTCTGTTCTAGGGCTAGCACCGCGACGGCCTGCATTGCGACCTCCACGCCTGTGCCATCCTTCGCGCTGGTTTCGATGTGCCCCATGCCCTGAGGGGAAGGAGTCGTTGCAGCGTGGACAATACGAGGCGGAGATTGGGGGGTCGATTTTTTACCAAACTTGGATGAGACACAAGAGGTTTTAACCAACAACGTTCTACTTGTACAGGCAAAATGAGAGACGAAGCGACACGAGAGAAAAAAAAAAAGAAACGTGGAGGACAGAGGAAGAGAACTTCCGCCTGCAAAACTTGAGCTTCAGCCTTCCCACAGCCTTTGAGCGTCATAGTCACCGTGCTCACGAATGAAGCTTCATTCATTGCTATGCATACAATTGTAGCGTAGTTTGTGCCGTCGTATACGACTTCTGAAGCTTGGATCGAAGGAGTGCGTGGCAATGGGGCTTTGCGCCTCATTCTACACGCTTCCTCTAACCCCTGACTAACATTGCTCGCCCACCCCCTCCCAACGAAGTAGCCTGCAGCACAAAAATAAAAAACGCTCCCCAACCACCAAGAAATAACTAAACGAAATTTCTCGTCCTCATCTCGTCCTCCATCAACCTGAGCTACAATCGCCGCAGCGTAAGCCCTCCGGTGTTCCGACCGACCAATGGGACCGACGGTCAGCAAAAAGATGCGCCAGCACCATCCGCATGAGAGGCACAGCAAAGACGACTCACAGATTAGGGGAAACCATAGCTCTTGGAAACGTTCATTAGCTGTCGCACACACCTGCATCTCGCACCACTTCATCACTCGGGTCTTATCCACTCCGTGAATCCCGTCCATTGGCAAACCGGTAGCTAAATCGACCTGGGTTTACCACAAATCACGCCACGGAGACACGTGGGTCAGTGCGCAACACGCGCTTGCACAGGGTTGCTCTTTTACGAGTGACGATCGGCAGACAGCAAACTAGCAGCAGGGTTACTACCAACGCGCGAGAATCAACATGAGCTGTCAGTAAAAAGGAAGGGTAGCTTGGATGATTGTACACGCATTGCCCAGAACTCAATGGCAGAAACGCCTGACCCAAATCTTACCAAAGCCAAGACGAAGAGCTGAAGGCCAGCGCCGTGATCGCTTACGGCCCATCAACTACTGTCAACGTGTATCCTCGACGGCTGTGCGCCTCCAATTTAGTGGGACCGTTTCATGCCTCCCGCCCCACCGTACGACATGGGATGGCTTGCTTGTAAGCGTCGTCGAAGCGTGGGTCGCCCCGGTGGTCTAGCTGGTATCCTCGAAACCTTCTAGAGGTTCGAATCCCGGCGTAAGCGAGCCTTTCTTGCAAAGTGAGTTTTTCTCGCTTCCGCTCCTGGTCCAAGCGGATAGCGCTAGTTCGTGTGTACACAGAGGGAAGAGAGTGCTGAACTCTTCTCGCATTTAAAATCGAAGGCAAAGTACCGCAGGAGGGGAGAGTAGAGAAGGGCTCTTTTGTGTGACCACGGGTTGGAGTAAACCGCACCAGTGCTGTGAGCGCTGATTTGAAGTGAAGACAAAAAAAAAAAGCGTGAATACTTGCCATGAATCATCTTCACGTGAGGGTCGGGTGGTGCGTCCAGTCGAATTTAGAAGGTATGTGCCACCTCTTGCCAGTGACAACTGTCCAATTCAGAACTGTTGTAGGACGACGCCTATTATATGATAGCAATCATCGACAACGCGACACACAGCTTTCCCCACACCTCCACCTCTCCAGCAAACACCCCAAAGACCCTCTCGCGTCAAAACGAAAAGCGTTTTTTCGAACACACCGAGACTTGGCGTCTCCCCTTTTTCGCGAAGGCCAAGCGTTCTTTCTTTGAGGGGGGAAGCCAATGCTTCTTTCTGTGAGCAACAAAAGGGAGGTTGAAACCTACATATCTCGTGGCAACAAATCGAGTCAGTTCATCACAGGCTACGGCTCCCACGTCAAGAGCACGTGCATCCCACCTCCCAGCCGTGGTGTCAACACACACGCGCTGCTCGCACCTTATTGCCGATGACGACGATGGGAAAGTCATGCGGGTCCACGTCTAATCGAACCAGCAGTTCTTCTCGCCACATGGCCACCTTCAAGCAGTACAGCACACGGCAGCGGGAGATGAGGTGTGGAGTGTTAGGTGGTGGTGTAGCCCCAGCCTACTGCATCTCGAAGACGCGTTGCGGCGTCTGACATAGGGCACACAACCAACAGGTCGGAAAAACAGAGACGGACTTACGTGTCCATCGTACACCACTCTAACATTTCGAGGTAGGAAAGAGACGCCGGGATAGAGTTTTACGCTCTAAAAACAGCTTGATGCGTTTTGTCAAAATACCGTAGTCAAGGGCACAACAACCTGAGCCATTGACGCGCGGAGGGTCTCTACTACCAGTGCCTAAATATATAAATTTATATACAACACGATACGTTACGTTTTAGGCGTGCCACGAAGCTATTCGAAGCCTTCCGGCTATTGCTGCAATTCAAACACACGATGATGGACAAACAGCGCTCGCAGCAGAGCCTCGTCATACAAGTGGAGGTCGGAAGTAAGAAACTTCCTAACCATGAACTTGGCCACTTGCAGCTAGTTAGATCGGTACCCGACCAACTTTGACTTGTCACCGCCAGCAGCAAGGTCCTACATTCGGTGCACACTCCAGTACTCCTCCCCCTTTTCTCACAACGATCGGCTGATCAAGTACCCCAAACCTATCACACAACGGAGACAAGAAAGGAGCCGGGAGTCTTGACCAAAGCGTCACGCCCTTCCATGTAGCACTGCCGAACAAACACACCTGTTCGAAGGACACCGCGCAAGCCACGTCGTAGACCAGCAACGCCGCGTTGGCTCCTCTGAAGAACCCCGACCCCAAGGAGCCCCCGTGAAACCGTTCCTGCCCCGCCGTGTCCCATATCTGAACACGCACCGCAATCGACAAAACGGCGATTAACAATATACAAGTGGTATAAGATATCGCGACAAGGCTTCGGCGGTACATGGCAGGGAATTTGTCGCACCCATGCCCTCTGTTGTACGCAAAAAATGTCTAACAACCCTTCCGTGGTGGTCTATCAGGGACGATACTGTGCCAGCAAGAGGCAAAATGTTGTGGGATTGAGAGCGAGTCCCAGGCCGTTACGGGTACAGTGCACGTACAACCGCTGTACATCCTGCGCTTATACCGGTCGCCCCGGTGGTCTAGTGGGTAGCCTCGCAGCCTGCTCAGGGCCAGGTCATGGGTTCGAGTCCCGACGGAGTGAGTTTTTTCGCGCTAATTAAATCCTGGTCTCCGTTGGAAGCGACGCGCTGCAAAGCTCGTTGTTAGTAAAAACTTGATCGACTTCTTAAGTCGCGAGGAAAGGGGNGGGTAGCCTCGCAGCCTGCTCAGGGCCAGGTCATGGGTTCGAGTCCCGACGGAGTGAGTTTTTTCGCGCTAATTAAATCCTGGTCTCCGTTGGAAGCGACGCGCTGCAAAGCTCGTTGTTAGTAAAAACTTGATCGACTTCTTAAGTCGCGAGGAAAGGGGTTGCTGTACCCTTCTCGCGATAAAAATATCTCAGGCAGGAGCCGCAGGAGGGGGTCCAATTCCTATGTGACCCCGATTGGGTTGTCTAGCTGGTAGAAGTCGAGGAAAAGGGCCAGAGGGGCAAACGACAGATTCCAATGACGGGAGAAAAACAAACAACAACAACAACAACAACAACAACAACAACAACAACAACAAGCTGACACCAAAAATGACGGGTACTTCGAAGTACACACGCGTTCCCCGCAGACACAAGTCGAAAATTCAAAAGACTCCCGAAAGAGACGGCTGCCGACCAATCGAGCGCCTCGTCGTCGTTGCTGCTCCAGTGATGACCTTATACCTGCAAAAGCATCGGCTGGTCCCCTTCCACGACTTCCTTGGTCATGAAATCCGCACCGATGGTTGGGCGGCGGTAGTCCGTGAAGTCCCCGGCGGCGTACCGCTTCATCAGGCTCGTTTTCCCGACCTGATTTTCGCATCGCGTGTGACCGATCGCCCCGGTGGTCTGTATATAGCGATTTAACTTCGAAACAAACCAAGAAAACCCTGTGCGGCCCCGGTTGTAGAGTTTATTACGTCATACATCAGACATATATACCGAAAGGTGTTGTATGATGTGAAAATCGGCCCAACAACGTCCACGTGTATACATGTGGCGGTCTACCAGTCAAGTGTAAGTGTTTGATCAGTACGGACAGAGGAAGGTACTGGGTAGAGAGATCGGAACGGTTTTTAATGTGAAGACGACAACAACGACAACAACGTGCGATTCAGATGGGACGCCTTCATCTCATGATAGTTTGTTGTTGTTGTAGTTTTCTGCAGCGGGTCGAGTAACACAGCGCAGCACAGCAGTAGTAGCTATGGCTAAATAGGGTGCCAATAGCGTGTGCAACTGCGACTGGACCACATTCGTCCATGGTAAACGAGTTTAGGCCCTGTTGAACCCAATGGCAAAAAGTTTCCTGTCACGAACTTGCTTGGCATCTATGCTTTCGCTATCTTGTTGAACCTGTAACCCAGAGGGGAGATATCGCTGTATGCTGCTCGGGAAATCGTGGAAAAACAGAACTTTCACTGACTCTATGGATCATTACTAATATATCTTAGACTCTTTTCGACAGATAGAGATGGATTCGTTGGGTGATACTGACAAAGAAAAAAACATCACGTGCCACGTGAAAGATTTCTGCAGCGGACTTGATTCAAGCGCAGCTCGTCAGTACCGGTCATACTTGGTACTTTTGACTACAGCTCCCACGCCTCACAGCAACAACACCGCGTAGCAAGGCCCAGGGGAAGAATCTATGGCGCACACGGACACGTGCAGTCACGTGGCATATTTGCGAAGAGAATTCGACCCGGCGTGGCCAGATGGTTTCGTTTGGGCACAACATGCGTTGGCAAACCCTCAACGCCTCCTACGTATTGCGAAGAGAGGCTTGATTTGTCATTTCTACTCTACTAGGCGAGATAACTAGAAATGCCAGCAGGTCGTCCTATTAATAGCACCGTAGAAGACACTTGTGCGTATATAAGTGCTCGAGAAAGGGGCTGCCTAACCCTTCGAAAATGGAGGAAGACATCAGTGTGACCTTGTGTCGAAGAGGTCTTGAGGCGACGAGGTGAGACCGTCAAGGGTGGGCGGACATTTCGAGAGACAAACTTTGAAAATGAAATGATGACCAACGTGCGGAAGGAAGTAAAACTGTAAAACTCTGACTCACTTGTGAAAACCACAGTTTCTGGCAGGAATCACCGAACCTTCCCTGTGAAGAAACTTTAACACATGCCCGAGAATTTGTGCTTTGGTCTGAAAGAAATGACTATGCGTACAATGTGCGTAAGTCATTCTACAAGAGACATTCGGTATCTAGATTATCATCAACGTGTGATCATGTATGAGAATTCGAGTACGCGATTACAACAGCAGCTGCTGTAGATGTAGTACATCGCTGTTCCGTTACATTTTCTTCGAACTCTTCGCCTGCAGCATACCACATGACCACCGTCGCAAGCGTTCAAGGGCTTTCGTCCTTTGCACGTGAGGATGATGGATGCCATCGTGCCCTTGACTTCTGTCCCGCAGAGGCTGCTCGAGCAATTGCATCATATCATCAGCTGCGTTCAAAAATGAAAACAGTGACAGATGTCACCCTTCGCTAGCACAAACAACAACTCACGTTGCTGCATCCGAGCACGACGATCTTCAGCAACACCCGCGGCTTCATTTGTCTCTGTCTTGACGCCCCACCCCCCGCCCGAGCTCTCGCCGTCGCTCCTTCAAAGTCCACCCCATTCGAATTCGAAGAAGAAGCCGTTCCCCCCAGTGCCACCGCCGCCGCCGCCGCGCCGCCGCTGCTGCTGCCTGCATCACCACTACTGCTGCTGGTCGATCTCGCTTTCTCGCCTGTCACAAGATCTTTGGTCGCGCTGGAATTGCTGATTGTGGAAGGAGGAGTCGTCTCGGCTGTTGCTGCTGCTGCGGCATCATCAACGGGCAGCGGAACCTTTGTTGATTCCGTGCTGGATGATGAGGAAATGTTGCTGTTCCGGCTGTTATTGTTGTCTGGGGAAGTAGGCACGCCTCCAGGTGTCGGAGATTTGTTGACCTTGTTTTGAGCTCGCTGGTGCCTTCGGGCGGCCGCGGCCAGCGCAGGGTCAAAGATCATCGGTCACTGCACTGGCAGCACGTGAAGACGGCTAGCCTGCTGGCACGCTGGTCCGGGTCAGTTGATGCCCTGGCTGGGTCCGTCAGTCGGGAGTCCCACCGCGATCGTGTGCGGGCCTCAAAGCTGAGGGGGGGGGGGTTCCGTCAAATTACACACCGCGTTGCTCCGCTCTTTGGCGCCCACACTGCACAGGTTCCACGTCGAATGGTGAGGCTGGATCGATTACCTGGTATGCTAAAGTAAAGATTACACCCGTTGATGAGGCCTTGATAAGTTTCGGCCCTTCCCTTGATGATTTGGAAGCATGGTGAAAAAACAGGCTGAATTCCAGCAAACACATCCACATGTCCCCCGTCTGTCGCCTCCCTTCCACCTCTTGCAGCCCGGTCATCGTCCTGTCATGGGCACATCGTCCAGCACGTGCCCTCCTGTACGATACAGTCGCCTTGCGTGCACTCCATGCTCACCTTTCCCTTGTCCATCCTCCTCGCTTCCAACAACCCCCCCCCCTCAATATGCAGGAGGCAGGCAGCCGAAGGCTAACACTCTGTAACATCGCAGCAGCAACCCTGGGCAAGAATAAGGCGCCTTGAAGCGGCACCCAAGCCAAGTACAGCAGCACCTTCGGGAACGGAAAGGAAGGGAAGTCCGCGAGCGACGTGCGTTGGAGGACCGATTTTCTGGAGAGAGGCCCAAGCTTGTTCGACAAAGTTTAAAAATACAACATGGTGAGACAGCAGCAATCGAGAGATCACACTTATTGGCCGATGTTAAGGTTCAATCCGAGTGATACAACAGCGGCAGTGACCTTCCTTGGGGCAGGCTACTTAAGAAGTACATGCTACTGCTGTACATTTGAACCGGGCACACCAAGGCTTGACGTCAATAAAATTAAGAACAAGCCGCAGTGCGAGGGTGTTGCAAAGCCTACATGTCATTTGTACCGCACGAAATACACACCACTATCCCCGGCCCCGCCTTCGCCGCACTTGATCGAAAATCCCGCCGCCGCTCTTCAACAGCCGCCGAAGCAGCAGAAGGGCAAGAAGGCTGTCGCCACCAAGAAGAAGCAGGTGAATTGTGAAGCTTGCCTTTTGAAAAGGCCGCTTGTGTCCTGAGTGCTCTGTCGCTTGTGACCTCTTTCTTTTCCGCTAGTCCCGCTAGCTTTTGCCACATGCGTGACGTTTGTGCGATCGGCGTTGTGTTTCGCGTTATGAGCGATCCGCACGATGAACATCGAGATGCCGGAAAGAACGACCGACTCTGACCTTGTTATAAAATAACGCGAGTGCAGCGCAGTGTAGCACGCGAAAGTGTAGGAATTTGATCTTGTGGGCACCGTGTGCTTCATGTACGTTCGAAAACTAAAGGCTTGCTTAGCATAGTGTGGATAGCAAGACGACAATAGCGGAGTTTTGTTTTCGTCGCTGAACCGTTTCCTTCCTGCACCATCCCCCTCCCCCGTCGCCTTTGCGGCGCCGCCCTCAATTAATTATCTATCTCGGTCGTCACGTTGTCTGTCGTGGATGCTTTACACCTGCTGTGTCTTCGCAGCTGATCGAGGACAAGACCTTCGGCCTCAAGAACAAGAACAAGAGCAAGTCCGTCCAGGTACTGCTGTAAGCTGTGATGGTATCTACAAGTCGTCATGTCATTTCATGTGCGGGCGAAGGCTTCTCCTCGTGAACGTCCACCCCTGTACACGAATTGCGTCATAGTTCTCCTTCCGTTCACGAGCTCAGCGACATTCTCGATAGCCCACCCTCTCCCTTACGCGTCTGAATGCAGCGGACAGCGAAAACACCGCGAAAAAACCTTTACATGATGTTGACCCTTGACCACCTAAGGGTAAGGCCCTGCCACCTAAGGGCTTAGATATAAGGACCAAAGTGACACCTTTCCGGTAGGCAGAATGCAATGCTGAAATTGTTAAACTACAGTTCTACGCACACAATACAAACATGGTGCACATGTCGGTGCTGCCAGCTCTGTTTTTTTAATCGCTGTGGGCTAGTCCCGTCTGGCTCTTGCACACCTCCCGCCGAAGATCCCAGACTTGTGGGGCAAGCCCCCTGAGCGCACACCGCGGCAAATAGGTATCCAGTTGGATTCTTGACGAGCTTGCACGAGCTTGCCGTTAGACCCACGGCGGTCCTGACGCTCTTGGTGCATCAACACTGACGGGTTTTGCCGTCAGATGCGTTGGCGGCCCTGATCATTTTTTGCACCAGAGAGGATGATATGTGTGCGACCCATCACCTCGCAAAAGCAGCAGCCCAATGTGTATTCTCATTCCAATAGTTGACTACTTGTTCGGGCTTGCACGTGTTGTCGGGACGGTGGGTGTGGGTATCTCTCGTCGGTATGCTAATAATTCTTCAGAAATACATCAGCACCGTGCAGAAGAGCGTCAATTCGACGGAGCAGCAACGCGCTTCCGATGCCGCCAAGAGCAAGAAGATGGCTTCAAAGGAGGTACAGTACGCTATCATTCACTTCAGAAGGTGCACCTGGCATGTCGGCAGATCATGGGTTTTTTCGTTTTTGTTGTCAAACACCCTCGCTTCTTTCTCACGTTTGTGGAAAACGTCGAAGTTGATGCGTGTAGATTGCAACGATGCTGGCTGAGTGATCGTCATTGTTTTTGGTACAGAGGAAGTACAGTACTGCACACACGATTGGTTGGGTGGTGCAACAGAACTATGAACATGTGTACGTCGTACAATTGTGTTTGCGTTGCCATGCCCACACGGGTTGGCCAATGATGTGCAAATATTTATGTCCCGTTTCCACGTAGCTGCTTTGTCTTCTGGCTGGGGAGATGAGGTAGTATGCACTTTCGATCGAAGGCACATGTTGTGCAGCAACCTACGCATGGTTTGTCGGATTAGCTTGAAATGGCCCGGGTACATGCTGATTGGTGGAGGCGACGAGTATGAGTTCATCGACAACGATGAAGACCCCGAAGAGCTGCCGCTGCTGTTGTCGTTGTTTCACCCCGTGGGATTCCGTTTTTTCGCCCAGCTTGAGTCGTGCTTCATCAAATCCTACTCGCTACGTACCCGTCCTTGCCGGAAACACTTGCCCGGCAGCATCAAAATTTCATTGCAAACACCGCACGGCTACTTTTTTCGATGTTCCTGAACTGACGTTTCGCGTCTCAGGCGAAGAAAGCACAGGAGGCGGAGCTTGCGGCCTTGTTTGACGAGGCCCTCCTCACCGGAGTAAAGAAGGTGGGATGCAAGAAGCTTGTTGGTTAGCCTAAAGGTGTTGAGCGGAGGTGTGTTGAGGCCGTTTGCACTAGACTAGGAAAGTGGTGCATTTACATTCTACAAGCAGCACTGCTGGACGTGGTTTTGATTTCCTGTCTGCGGTTGTACTCTTTCCCAAGAAATGTTTTGTGTGTTTGCCATGAGAAACTCATCCACGCGCGTTTTTGCGATGATCATCAACGAAGCTTTGCTACCACTTCCATGAGCCACCCGACAAGCTCTGCACCTCGAAATGGATCGGTACATAGCCGGACAGCGCCTTCACCCCGAATATGCAAGCCATGCCATTGTTTGAAGCTTTTCTTTTCTTTTCTTTTGTTTTTTGTAACGACGTATTGATCTTTTGATGATCGTGTGACGCGCTGGTGTTAACACCAGGGTGGCACTGCTGGAAAGGGGAAGACTCCAGCGGTGGCCGTCGAAACGAAGGCCAAGCAGGCTCAGGAGACCTTCGTCATCGAGGAGGGAGAGAAGACCTTGGAGGACATGATCGAGGAGCAGAGAACTAAGCTGCACAGGGAGGGCAAGCAGGTGAGTCAGAACCACGAGCACGTGACGAAGGGAGGAAAGCGCCGCGGGTGCGGACGTTCCTGACTCTACTCGTCTGATTGTCTTGGCTTGGCTAACTCGTGGGCGCGGATAAAACAAGCGGCAATTCGCGTCGCATGCACCCGTTGTATCACGGCTGATATCGGGAGAATGTGTTACGACACAATTTGCAACAGGTTCCGTAAGGGTACATATGTGTGTCCTAGACGGCACTTTCTTTGCTCGACACCCTTATCTGCTCGTCGGTTCTTGCCACGTTGCTTTCTTTGCCAACACTGTACAATCGCCCTCTTCCTTCCAGGGGACTCCCGTAAACCAGGAGACCTTGGCAAAGTGGAAGGCGGATCGGAAGGCGAAAAAGCTTGCGGAAGAGCGCCGCAAGGTATGTTGTTGGTTATGGTACACTGGCGTAGGTGGTGTTGGTGCCACATACGTTTGTTGTCGCTGCTGTTTTAGAGCTTTTGCTTGTCATCATATTTGTGATTTGCCTCTGCTCTAGTTGTCGCGAGTACTGTCCATATATGTGTTGCTCTTGTTGGGAGTGTTTCAAGCGTTGCCGAAGCGTAACGCCCCACGACTCACACGGTTGGCTATTGAACCGCTCCGTGCTCGTCCGCTTCATGCGATTTCTTACCTTTAGCTGGAGCTAGTACTGTGTGGGTTTCAGTTCATTGCGATGTATATAGAGTGAATTTAGTCTCCAAGCACTTGTGCGTCGCTGAAGGTCACGAACAAGGGTATGTGGATCTGCGCATGTGTATTCTAACCGAACTGCCGTTTGCAAGCAAGTGATACGTCATATTTGTAATGACCACTGTTGTGCATGCGTGCATTTCGTTCGCTACATGTGTTACCACGAGAACCCGCTTCGCGGTTGGGTTCTGTTTTTCGTGCTTATCAAGGGTATGTGTTTGGTCAAGGGTATATGTGTTTGTTGAACGGCACGTCTGATTGAAACTACCGTGTGTTGTGGTTTGACTGACACCGCGAGCCCGCCCGTATTGTCAACATTGGTGTGTTTTGCGTCGTTGCAGGTCCAGGCGGAGATGAAGAAGAAGAACAAGGGCAAGGGGCTGTCCGTGCTCAGCGGTCGAGCCCTGTACGACTACGACGCCACTCTGTTCGAGGTACTAGTAATTTAATGGTGTACAGAAGCCGAAGCCGAATAGCAAGAGCCCAGGGAACACACATGTAGCCCGTTCGCCACGTGCACCAACACACATCTTTCCCGACGTACACAGTATCACCCCAGCGCTTCTGCCGGCGGTGTTAGTTGGCCCGGGGAGGGGGGTTGGGATGGCCGCTCCAATGGCCGTATGCTGTTGGACACGGAATGCCGTCGACAAGTAGAAAAACCTCAAACACTGTCGCTCTCTCAGCGAAGAAGGTGATGATGCAAGTTTCGTCAAGAGGACGACTGCACTATGATAAGCGTCACGCCTGCCCGACTCCGTTCATTGGCGTCGCTGTGTCGGCATCCGCTTTTGTCGAATGGACGAAAGATAGAAACGTTGTCAAACTTGAAGGCGAAAACGGACGAGCTGGCCCCGTGTGGAGTTACGCGCAGAACTCATCTAGGTGCATACTATTCATTTTATGCATACATATAGGCATAACTTTTGCTGTAGATCTTTATGTTTTTCAGTGTTGTGGACGCAATATCGGTTGGAGTGCGACGTTCAGCGATGCTTATCGGTAGAAGCATGGTGTGGTAAGGGTACGTTTTGTTGTCAACACACTCGTGTTGTGTCCTACCACGTGCCGCTTTGCTGCGTGTTGTGTAGCTCTGCCGCTCTACGCTCCGGCGTCTTGAGGAAGAACACTCCCAACTCTGTGTGTGCCGGCCGTGCACGTGATTTTTGCGACAGGACGATGCGGACGCTGTGGACAACGATACGATGAAGCAGCGCAATGACGAGGACGACGAGGAGGACGGGCGACCAGATGGCGAAGAGGTACGGGCTTATTGTAGACGGTATCGTTATATTGTTCGGTTGTTGCGGTCCGAACGCACACCCACGGCTTATGCGGCATTGTCCGAGACACGGGTGTTGTTTGTTTTGTACGGGTTTTGACGATAATTGCATGTTTGGCGACCGCGTGCACGGGTGATGCGGCAACATAAACAGACGTGACGCTTACAAGGCCATGGTGTGGATTGGCCGACCAGTGTTGCGACTTTATGAGGCCTTCGTTGCTTGCGGCTGCCCGCGGGCTGGAGAAGTTTTTTGAGATTCATGTGTTGTCGTATTCCAGTCCTGCGGCGCTCGCCTTGCTTTCGGGACGTTGTCGTTTTGATGCGCGGAAACGCAAGAGATACTTCCTCGAGTACTGCATTCTCCCCCGAGGCCGGAATTCAGCTTGTAGTGTCGTGCGTATAACCGTGGATGGCGGAGCATGCATGGGTCAACAATTATTTTTCCCGTGTCGCGAAACTGGTGCAGGAGAAGGAAGGCGCTGCGGGAGCAGCGGCAGCAGGAGGGGCAGCAGCGGGGGTAAAGGTGGAGGAGGCGTTGTTCGAAGGAGACGATGAGGACTTGGATGACTTGGATGACGACGAGGGGGCGTGAGGCGGCCGGACCTTGTCTGGTCTGGTAGCACGACGTCTCCCCTTACCCCCTCCGGTGCTCGTCAGCTGGCGGAGCTTGTGCGTTATAGAGTGGCTAGTTGTGTGCGTGCAAGCAAGGCCTCTTGTGCGGGCAAAACCTTTGTTTGTTTGTGTGCATAGCGGTTAGAGACACGGAAACATGCTCACGCATTGGCGGGTTTGGAGGTAATATGTGTTTGTCGCCCCGCCTGTCGGAAGCGGCCGCGACGTGCACGGCAGTCGAGCTATTTTGGAGGGTGCGTGGAAAGCCTCTGCCTCTGATTGCTCCCGACGAGAAGTCCCGGATCCTCAGCGTCAGGCGAATGAATGCCATTTCTCTGGCAGCGTTGTGCGACAATTATCTCGTGGATGTGTTTGGCACACAGACTGCGTGACGTTGCGTCGTGAGTGATGGTACGTTTGGTGTTTGGCGTTTGGGGCTCTTGGTAGGGATGGAGACCCTTGCGTGGTATTCGTTTTCTCTTTGTTGTGCGTTTTCTGATATTTGTTTATTTTGAGCGTTACGTTGGACCCCTTGGTAGCGAGGTTTGCGAACAGACGGAATTATTTGGCCAGAGAGCGCATTCGTTTCGCAGCGTTATCTGCGCAGACGCGAGGTGTGCCTCTTTGCGCTAGGGTTCGGACGTTGGGGCTGCTCGCTGAGTGTGCGGCATAACAGAGTTTCCTAACACCTGTCTTTTTGGGATGTAAAAGTTACCTTTCGAGTGTTACGGCGAGACTCGGGACGCATGTGCGAGGGTATCCAATGTGACAGGGCACCTTTTATTTTGTTCCCTCATCCCCCGCTCTTCTTATGTCCCTTTTCTGCTCTGCTGGTGAAGTGCAAGACCCAAGTTGCCCAGGACTATGCATACGTGTTGAAGCAGTAGTTTTTCGTGCGGTGCAGCTTCCATTGCGAGAGAAGTGAGAGCGGTACCAAATGTTGGTTCAACACGATCTTGGTCATGTCAAGATCGCCCGGGGCGCCTTCCTCGCAAGAGTGTGTAACTCCGTACCTCGTCGAGTTTCCGTCAGTTAAAAAAAAAAATACCGGTTCTAAGTCCATTTCCGGCAGAAGAATCCATTTCCGGCATTGACAAAAAAAAACAAAAAAATCCAACAATTTCGCGCCGCTTTTGGACGAAAATAAATGCGGCGGGATTCATTTCACAGGGAAGATCAACTCGGAGCGACTCGTTCACCCCGGCAATCGACTCCGCTTGGTCGAATTACCCACAAAGAAACTTGCTGCAGGGTCTCCCGACCCCACGTCGACGAGGTACTGCTCATTCCCTTCCCGTCGCCTGGACGATGGCGGCTGATGCCACCATGCTGAGGCGCGGTATCAAAATTGCGGGAGAAGCGAGGGTGTCAAGCACAGCTGGCGCCCGCACGCCAGGGGCTATCACCTGACCTCCACGCTGCTGAGGAAGGGCACTGAAGCTGCGGCTACCAAGGCAATAGGCTCTGTGGTGAATAACCTCGAGGACGTTGTACATATGGCTCGAGGGCATGTTGATGACCTTCAAGAACGGTCTGTCGCAAGAAGAAACCGGAAGGAGCCGCCACCAGATCTGCTGCCGCTGCTGCGGTGGCTGCAGCTGCTGCCGAACGAGGTCGAAGGTTAGGAGTCGATGCACGTCTCGCTCGCTCGGATCCGCTTGAGGCGCTTCTTTCAGCGGACCGAGGAGGAGCCCACAACCCACGACGACTCCTCCACGACAACGGCAAACGGTGAGTTCAGAGCGGCGCACGGCAAGAGATAGGGTGATATCTTGCGTATTTTTCTAATGTTTGAATTTCCCTGTAGGCTAGACTACTGCTGTATTTCCCGGTATTTCCCCTGCTCTCCATCTTCCCACGAAAGTATGGAGTCCCCATCCTCACATTTCCCCTCTCTCTCGTCAAAACTGCTTCAAATTTTATCGATCGTACTCAAACAGGCTATCGACCGGCACCACGACGGGGTGAAGCAGAGCGTGTTAGAGGATGATGTGTTGAAGGAGGAGCTGAGGGAGTTGTGTGTCGGAGAACTTTGAGAGGCAGCGGCGACGAAGACTGCTGTCGATGCGGAGAACATTCGCGCACTGGTCGCCTCTGTAGAGACGCTGAAGCTACACTCCCACAGCAACATCGGCCGCGCCGCCTACAACACCATCATTGCCGCAGCTGCTGGAGCGGAGCACACGTGCGATCCTGATGACCCTTGCACCCCGGATGAGCCGTGCGCACCTGCTGAGCCGCATGGTGCCGTCAGCCTTACCGCGCGAGCACAGAGTCTCGGTGTGAGAGATGCCACGTTCCGTGCAGCGCGTACCCGGATGCACAGGACTGACCACACCATACCTCCACAGGAAGCTTTGGAGAAGGGGAGATACCTCTGGGCTCCTCGCAAGGAAAGGAGCGACAAGATGGACGAACGTGTCATGGGTTTGGCGAGGAGGCTCTGGCACTCTGACGATATTTCTCGTGCGTCGGGAGACTCCGGTAAGCGTTGGCAAATTTTGTTGCTGTACAAATGTAGATAGGGGTATCTCCTTGTTTCCGTTTTTTGTCGCCGTGACGAATCAACTGCACTTCTCTGTACCCCTTTAGATAGCTTCACTATTGCTGCTACACTGCACACTGCTGTTCTTTCGTACACCCCTGTAGGGACGAAAGCTATGTGGAGGCCGTCCAAGAAGGCAGGGGAGGAGTATCACCCCCGTAGGCAGCTCATGGTCGCGGGGGACCAAGTATGGCACAAGTTTCTGAAGTGGCCGGAGTACTTGGGGCTTAAGGCGGAGCTGCTGAGGGAAGACAACAGCTTCACGGACCCTGGGCGGACGCTGTTCCTCTCGACGCGGTGTGGGTGCTTAGGTGGGTAGACATGAGGGGAGAGCTCCTTTTTTTTTTCCCACGAAACAGCGTAGTGACCGTTCCAGCGTAATGAACTCTTCTGCTGTGTCACCGCCCCAGAGGACGGCCTCGTTGCTGACCTGCTGTCCTCCTTTCTGTCCGTTTCAAATGTTCGCTTCTGGTGTGTCACAGTGGAACCCAAGGTATCGCAGTGTGCATGCCAGATCCACACGCAGCAGGGGCTGTACCTGAAGGCCTTCGAGATGTTGATGCCTGCAATACATGCCAACTGTGACTGCACGTGCAAGTGGTGCGACGGGGGGAGTGGGTGTGGAAAGTGGATGGCCATGTGTAAAGATCTGCACAGCTTTTCTGAGGCTTTGGCTTGCGAGAAGGTAGACTTTCTTGAGGAGGACCGAGGGGGTAGGTTTGAGCACTGGGGGAGGAAGCCCGCATGCGTTGCGATGGAATGTTCCGAATGCGGGTTTGGCAACCCAGGCGGCATCCCCATGAACTGCGATGCCCTGGGGTCTATGGCGGACAGAGTAGTCGGGTGGCTTCGGTTCGCGGATCAAGTCATGGAGGATGGGAAAGTGCACAAGAAGCAGCAGCTACCCCAGGCTGGAAAACTGGGTGACCTGTGGCAGGAGTTTGTTGAGCACTCCAAGAAGGTGTGAAGTAATGGACCGCATGTGGAATCGCGTCATCAACTGGAGGCATCTAGTCAATTGTGCATCAACACAATCAATCGCGCAACGTACAACCGTCCTTTCCTTTCAAATTACAACTATATTTTCCCGCGCCGCCCTTGCCCCCCCCTCCCCCCCTCGGTGGTGTTTGCCATCGGGGTCGGGTTTTCGTCACTTGGCAACGACGTTGTAAAACAAGCCACCCCCCCCGGTGTTTGCCATTGGGATTGGGTTTTCGTCGCTTCGCAACGATGCAAAACAAATCAATTCAATTCGTGAACTCAGCAACCAGGTTACCGTTTTTTTTTTACCTCTGTTTTTTTTTTGCGGTAACCATCAATGGTGGTCGAGTAGATCATGTTGTGCGGGATGGAGAACCCTCACTCCGCGCAAGGGGGATGATCGCACCACGTTGTGTTAAAATGGTCAAGCATCCTCGAGGCAGTTACACAGTGCTTACAACTGTTTCAGGACGTGAAAGCACCAGAAAATAAATCAAGTCATACGCAGCTGTCATCCGTAAGCAAGGAAATAAGCACAAGATGCTGAACACCCTTAGCAGGATGCAGCGCACCCTTCATGCGACTCGCCGAATATCTCACGGCGCTTCGCGCTTGGTGATGTGAGAGCCTGGTCCGGTGCGAACCCGGCGTGCTCCGTCCCGGCTTTGCAGGGATGCGAGGTCAATGGTCTAACGACTACGGCATGCACGACTATGAGTACACCCCCCCACACTTGCCCCCCGTTCGTTTTGTATACCTCTCAGTATCTTCATCACCATGAGCTAGCAAAGTGGCAGTGCCAAGCCCACAACATGTGCCCGGCGACGTTCTCCAAAGGCGCGCTGTTGGTGGAGACCGACTTTTATCAAGAAGTACAAGCACGAGCCTGGCGCTATCTTGACGTGCGCTACTGCGCACTCCACGACCATGATGGTGTCCCTAGTTCACCACAGTGCTGACGACAACGGCCGGCATGAGACAGACGCATGGATTTTCGTATCGAGTGATCCCAATCATGACTTCGACTTCCACATCCACCCCATGGACATCATCCTTCAGTACTACATCACGGGGGATGGGCTGGCCGCTACCGCTGAAACCCCGATCCCGACGGTGCACATCTTCACCGACGGGTGCGCCAAACAGTACAAGGGGAAGCGCAACTTTCACGCCGTGGCCAAGAGCTTGCAGAGGCTTGGTGCCATCCTCATCCACAACTTCGCGGTCACGTCGCAATTCAAAGGCGCCCACGATGGCATCGGAGGGTTGCTGAAGGCTCTACCGCGAGAAGCGGAGAAAAGGGGCCAGCGCATCCACGACACCCAAGCCGCAGCCGACTTCCTCCAAGCCTACGCCGAGGCATAGGACGATGGAGGAGGCCACTTTTCAACCTGGTCTCCCTACCGGATCAGGAGTTTCCACATCAAGCTTCTTGGACACCGGGACATCGCCCGTTTGTAGATTTGACCGGCATCTCTGGTAGTCGCAAGCTGTACCACTTCATGGGAGCGGGGAGGTCCAGCAGGAGGAGGAGAGCTCGGGCGTAAGCGTAGAGGTGGAGACAGAGAACGGGGTTCCCCTCATAGGTGACAAGAATGAGGTTGTAGCTAACCCGCAGAGATGGCAGGCAGACGAATCAATCGTTCNTCGTGCTACTGCTCGAAGTGTAGTGTTGGAGCTTACGACGACTGCGTCCCGGCCAAAAAGTATGAGGGGATGGTCGGTATTGTGAAGGATGTATCGGGCAAGCACAAGGTTACTTGGACGTCTTGTGGTGTAGGGAATGGAGGGGTGTCCGTGTTGCACGTCATATTCTGATTGACGCCTTTTTCTCTTCGATGTTTTTTTGTTTTTTTGGGTAATATTGTTGCAATACAATTGTAGACTATTTGTGCTTTTTTTGTTGCTGTGTGCTGTTTGTTGCATGTTGCTGTATTCATGTGCAGCAGCAGGTCGTCTCCCTTGCGGTTTGGGATACGAAATTTGACAACGCTTACCGGAGTCTCCCGAGGCACGAGAAATATCGTCAGAGTGCCAGAGCCTCCTCGCCAAACCCATGAAACGTTCGTCCATCTTGTCGCTCCTTTCCTTGCGAGGAGCCCAGAGGTATCTTCCCTTCTCCCAAGCTCCCTGCGGAGGTATGGTGTGGTCAGTCCTGTGCATCCGGGTACGCCCTGCACGGAACGTGGGGTTTCTCACACCGAGACCCTGTGCTCGCGCGGCAAGGCTGACGGCACCATGCGGCTCAGCAGGTGCGCACGGCTCATCCGGGGTGCAAGGGTCATCAGGATCGCACGTGTGCTCCGCTCCAGCAGCTGCGGCAATGATGGTGTTGTAGGCAGCGCGGCCGATGTTGCTATGGGAGTGTAGCTTCAGCGTCTCTACAGAGGCGACCAGTGCGCGAATGTTCTCCGCATCGACAGCAGCCTTCGTCGCCGCTGCCTCTCAAAGTTCTCCGACACACAGCAACTCCCTCAGCTCCTCCTTCAACACATCATCCTCTAACACGCTCTGCTTCACCCCGTCGTGGTGCCGGTCGATAGCCTGTTTGAGTACGATCGATAAAATTTGAAGCAGTTTTGACGAGAGAGAGGGGAAATGTGAGGATGGGGACTCCATACTTTCGTGGGAAGATGGAGAGCAGGGGAAATACCGGGAACACAGCAGTAGTCTAACCTACAGGGAATTTCAAACAGTAGAAAAATACGCAAGATATCACCCTATCTCTTGCCGTGCGCCGCTCTGAACTCACCGTTTGCCGTTGTCGTGGAGGAGTCGTCGTGGGTTGTGGGCTTCTCCTCGGTCCGCTGAAAAGAAGCGCCTCAAGCGGATCCGAGCGAGCGAGACGTGCATCGACTCCTAACCTTCGACCTCGTTCCGGGTTCCTGGTTTTGGGAGGGGTAAAACAACTGATTGCTGCGCTTTATCTTGATCTCGCAGGCACTGACCCAATGCCGTATTAGTGTAGCCGTATCGAGCTGTCTCAAAGGCCGAGGTTGTTTTCGTAAGTGCTGCTTGTGTGGTGTGCCCTTGGTTCGTTCAGAGTATAGGGTGTCCTAAGTGCATATCCGAAGCTTTCATCAAACGTTTTCGCGGACGGCCACATCTTCATCCCATCAGATTTCGATTAAGCGAAAAAAATGCATAACCTGTAGTCTAACTTATGGGCTACAGATGAGGTGAAGGTGGTAAGATACGACAGGGGCAGGCCTTTGGGTTGAAAATATATGGCAGTCGCTGAGACGGCGATAAAGCCGCGTCACGACCCTCGCCAGGTTCGCAGGGATCGGAGTACGGGAGCTTCAATTCAACCAATTCAAGTGGTATACACACCCGGGTTTGCTGCATCTCTCCCCTCTCTCGGCGATCACCCTGACCCCCCACGGCTCACACCAACCCTCGGACTGGAACCCTACATAGAATCCCTCCGCATTTTATTTTGTCTATGTTTCCCCGAACCGATACGCCGCCGTGGTGTTTGCACGCCGCCGCTGCTGCAACGTCCACAAAGCAATTGCAGCTTCGTGTGCTTGGGGACGTCCAAAGGCCTCCCCGAAACAGCGAATAATCATTTTAGGTCTCCTCGCCTGGTGCTTGCCAACACTGATAACGCGACGTGAGGGCCATCGATCATACGTCAGAGTCTTGAGTCCTGCAAACGTCACCAGATCACATAACGCAGTCGACGGACGGTTGCTGTAGTCTACACCGTAAGAGCGGCAGCCGTCCGCAACCGCGCGGGGCTGGTACCATGAGATTGCCGCAAATAGCGGGCGTCTTTCTTGTGTCTATAGTCGGAGGTGAAGGGTTCTTCAGCCCATGTGCTGGCCGGCACGTGTGTGCCGGCCGCCGCTCCGCGCCGATTCACGTACATCATCACCCTTCTACAATATACCGGCGGTGGGATAGTCGTACCTATTGCAGCGTGGCACTACTTCGGGGTGGGGGGGGACGCAGCTGGAAGGCCAGGCGACAGTCTTCATCTCTCGGGCTAAAGAACGCAGCCGCGAATGACGAGGAGGCTGGGTTGGGCGACGAAGCAAGCCTCATTCCATTCTCTAAGCCGACGCTACAGGTGAGTCTGCGGTTCCAGACTGCCAATTTGATTGAGCGAAAAATGTCTTCATGTACCCAAGATACACAGACCTCGCCGGTACAAGACCGTTTCTGCACCACACTCTACCATATAGTCGCAGTAGTATAAGAAGTTGATACTGGTTGGCAGTGGTCGAGGCACAGGTGGTGTTGGTAGGTCCACCCTTCCAACTACTGCTCGTACGTTGTCTATTGAATCTTCAGATTCACCTTCCAACATCGTCTCAGTGTTACAATTTCCTGGCCACCAGCGAAACCTACCATACGGTGAAACGGTTCCATTCAAAAAGGGCACTTCCCCCGAGCTTTCAGGTTGGATTTCAAAGTTTTAGTTTCTTAAAATTCTGAGAGGATTAGACGTAACGCCTGGGTTCATTGGATTCAACTTGAGAACTTCCCCCAGCACTGCTGTTCTCTTGGTACCTTGGCGGGAGATGGTGACACGTTGGCTGGTCGCATATTTTGGAAAGGATTCATGTGCTGGAGCGAAGATGTGGAATAAAAGGCCTTTGCGCATGGAGTAACGCGCCTGCAAATAGTCTAGCCCTGTTGCCCAATGACGACCATCGATCTCCGCTCCGCCCTCGCCCCGCATGCTGTTTATTTTAGCTCGTAACCGCCGTCGATTGGCGGCCCTTGAGTACTTTCGACTCCAGTCATCCACGAGAGAGAACAGAGCAGATACGAACGCTGGCCAAGTTCCAGCACCAATCTGCTACTGGCTCGCAAAGACCATGTTCGTCAGACAGTGGCTTGTTTTGATCACTGCGGCGGCCTCGACTGTTTCAAACCAACCTATCCAACTGATGAGACACTAACGGCAATCCTACGGAGACGTTGCCGGCAATAACATAGAACTGTTGTCGATCTTTTCGCGCTTCATTATGCCCCCTCCCCCCCCTCCCGGTATATGCATACAACCGGTTTATTTTGTATCTTTTCTGTTGTGCTTGCTGGACTCGTGACCCTCGGAAACATGTCTTACCGCGTTGAAATGAGCTTGCCACGTACCCCCTTCACGCGTTGGGCAGGGTATCGAGTTGACATGGGACGTCGTGGCGATTCTGGTGGTGTACTTCGTTCAAGGCGCTCTCGGGCTCGCGAGGCAAGATCTATGCTACTGGAGCTGGTTGAGTTTAATCTGTATCGAAGTCATTGTGGCGTGGCTCTCATTCCGTTTGGAAGTTTTGCCCGCTGTTTCTTTAGCTGTTGTAGTTACTGGTACTTGTTTATACACCAAGTATTATGGAAGTACCAGTCTTTCACCAAGCGACGGAATGAGAGAGGGCTGCTCCAGTTCCGACTAACTGCTGCCGCCAAGTGTTTTGCGAGTATCTGCCGCTCATTTGCTCTACTTGTAACGTACGCTTGCATGACGTGCTTGACATGTTGAGACACCACAATAAAGCGAGCCGACCCCTGTTGGATTTTGCTAGCCTAGCTACGCAAGGCCTTCACCCGGCCGTGTGCGGGAATATACATCCTCACGAACTGCTTGGCACATTTTCGGTTGAAAACAGAACAACAAGGTGGTGTCGGAGGATGCGACAGCTTACAAGCCAACTTTCCCCCGATACCGCAGGCTGGCGACGACGTTTTTCTTCAAGGACGAGTTGCACCTGGCCCCGGCAGAGGTAGCTGCGCTCTCCGGCTTGTTCACCCTCCCTTGGGTGTTCAAGCCACTCTATGGGTTCCTGAGTGATGGACTGCCAGTCTTCGGGTACCGCAGGTGCTTCTTCGCTACACCACCTGTCACTTGATTGACACACACACATCCACCAAGCGCAGTAATGTGAAGTTTTTACGCATGTGTAGCTTGTTCCACCAGTTGCTATGTTCGAAGGTTTTCATGTTCACCATTGACCGGGCTGTGCCGTGCGGTCCGCACACAATCGTGGACCAGCGTCGTGTTGCAATGGCCGCATATATCCGCTTTGCCACAGCAGTATCGCCAGCAGAAACAAGTTTACTTGCTTTGTAGATGACCTGTTCGCAGAAGGCCGTGTCCGGCTAGTTTTCTTTCCCGTACGGCTTAGAACTTCCGGTCCTTCCGTCTTCCAAGCGGCATGATACATGAAGCGCGCAAAGCATCCCCCCAGCACTTATTTGCGATACGCTGATTTTGCCGAATTTGTTCGTGTCCGGGCTGACAGGAGGTCGTACATGGTTCTTGCGGGGCTCCTGGGGGCATCGGGTTGGTTTTATCTGGCCAACTTTGCGGAAACACCGTTTCAAGCTACGGCAGCCAGTATCGTAGCGAGCTTGGGAGTGGCAGTATCCGACGTCGTAGCCGACAGCATCGTGGTCGAAAAGGTGAGAGACATAATTGCTGTACATAGATGTGAACATATCTTTCCGCGCCTAGACGTTCACAGCCTTGGCCGCGCACGGATTAGTATCGTGTAACCGTCTTGAGTTGTACGGTCGGAGAGGTGTGGCCAATCTGCGAATGTTTGTGCGCAAACCCGAATTTGCTCTAGAATCTTGCGCTTTTTTTCGTCTCCAGCATACATTGCTGACCACTCCAGCCCGAAACGAAAATCCCTCGACTCCAGGCGAGAGATTCAGACTCTCAGGCTGTTGCCGGGGGGCTCCAGTCCTTGTGTTGGGGCAGCGCTGCTGTGGGGGGGATCACCAGCGCGTATTTCTCGGGATCTCTGCTGGAGACGATGACGACAAGAGAAGTCTTCTCTCTGACGACCTACCTGCCGCTGTTGATCACGGTTTGCGCCATGTTCATCGACGAGAAGCGGCTGACAGAGAACATGAGCAGGTGAGGATAGAATTTGTGTAAGAGGTTTCAAGTCTGGCCATGGCACGGCTAGCTATATGGCCGTCGATTCTGCAAGCTGGGTGTCCGTTCACACCCGTGCACGCCTTGGTTTTTGGGAGAGAAGACTCGCTCATGCACACGCCCCCTTTGTCGACGTACTCTGAGCGGCAAGGGTTCTTCGTATTCTGCTTTTGTCTGAATCCTGATCGACACCGGAACGCTGCGATTTGCTTCACCCCCTCGACAAGTCCGAAACAGATTGTGTCGGAGCAAGCATCCGCGCTGTGGTCGGCCATCAAGAACAAATCTGTTTGGCTGCCGGCGCTTTTCATCTTCCTCTGGCGCGCAACGCCGTCCTCCGACTCGGCATACTTCTTCTTCCTTACGAACGACATCGGTGAGTTTACTCGTGTTCCTTGCCAGCTATTCTCAAAGTAGATTTGACGGACAGATGGAGGTACTAGATAAAAAGATCCGAACGGTTTTTATTGTGAAGAACATAACAACCGCAACATCCACGATGACAGACCCATTGAATGTCTCCTTAAGACGTGATGATAGCCCTTGTTTGACGGCCTGGAAGATCGCTTCATGCGTGTACACGATAGATTCTATGTTTTCGATCTCGATGCTGCGTCTGATAGTTGCCGCCCAACGCATGCCTTGCTTTGTCGCGACAGGTGTCGGGCCAGAGTTCCTTGGACGGGTTCGATTGGGATCGAGCATCGCAAGCCTGGTAGGGGTGTGGATTTTCCAGTCGTTTCTCAAGGAGACCAAGATAAGCAAGGTGCTTTTCTGGACTGCTGTGGCGGCTGTGCCATTAGGGTTCACTCAGGTGAGGCGGCCGTACAAAGCTTCGTCGACAGTGCAACGCTGCTGCTATTTCGTGAGACCTGCTTCTTACTCTGTCGTGCGCATGAGTTACACTGGGTGTGTTCTGCCTTTGCATGGTTTCATTTTCGCATCAACGCCGTTTTTCCAATTCCTTCCCCTGACGAGGACGCGTGGTCAATCATCTAACAGTTAAGGCATGCAAAACATGAATACCCTCGCCCCCGCCCCCGCCCCCGCCCCCCGCAGTTGCTGCTCGTGTACCACATCAACCGGGACCTTGGGATCCCGGATGAGCTGTTCACGTTTGGAGATGACGTCGTGCTGACGGTCCTCGGGCAGATCGCGTTCATGCCAACCCTGGTGCTTTCGGCGAGATTGTGTCCCCCAGGAGTGGAGGGAACTTTGTTTGCGTTGCTCATGTCGATCTTTAACGGGGGGGCTATCGTCGGCAGCGAGTTGGGGGCCTACCTGACCCGGGTGATGGGGGTCACCGAAGCTGACTTCCGCAACCTTGGCATGTTGATTGCGATATGCAACGTTAGCAGCTTGCTGCCGCTGCCGTTTTTGAAGTGGATCGATTCTGTGGAGGGCGATGAGAATTCTACTGACGAAGCAGCTAATACCCCCGGAAAGAGAAAGTGATATGTGGTCGTGGGAATGGTTTTGCTCATGACATGGCTTGCAGTTTACTGTTGTTGTTTGTTGGCAACGCCGAGACTTGTACGGTGTGCTATGCTCCAACCACGGTCCTTTATTGATGCAGCGGTGGCTCTTGTAGCGTGGGATGTGTGCCTTACTAGTCGAAAACCTTGAAGCGATGGAGAGTAAAGTTAGTGCTATTTAGTTCTACAGATAATTATTGATGTGATACAAATCATCTTATATTAATAAATGTTGTCAACATTTGGGAGGAGGGAGCCGCGTCATCATGTATGACTCAAAAAGGCTTTGCCTGTGCAGGGAGAACTTGACTTGAGACCCGCACAGGAAAGGACCCCCAAAACATGCACTTTCACCGAAGAGGCGTTGGAGTGCTTCGGATGGGCCATGAATAGTCACACCGCCTTTCACTCTACGGTGATCTGGTTCAACAGCTGTACTGCTGTACTGCAAATCTCAGGGTGGCATGTCAAATGTAGGAGTGCAATGCGCTCTTGTTGGACCGCGCTCTTCCAAGTCTTCTTGACTTGGCGCGGGCTCGTTTCTGCGTTGACGTCCGCGGCGGCGTGTCCGCGATACATAGCTCTCCTAAAGAATCGATTGGCCAATCACAGGCGGGTAGACTCGGCCTCAGCGACTAAGAGTTTTTCAGGCGTCATGAGTCCATGCTCGATCAACAGAGAGCCCAGCTTCCTGCAAGGGATTCTCCTCGTCAACTATGTACGTCGTGTTGCATGTAGCCACCTCGCAAATCGGCCAGGTTTTTATCGACCTACGATTGCACAAAAAACCTTCAGGCCTGAACAGCGGCCAGAGCGACGGTGGCACTAGTGGTATCCGTCCGCCCAAACGCCCCATCCCGAATGAACGCCACATTAAAAACTTGTCAATTGGTCCGATCAGACAGCAACCCTATGCATACGAGATGCAGCTTCTATTAGCACTGTTTTCTGTCATGTGCTGTGTGCACTCACCCGAGTCTTGGACTCGGCGTTGGCGGCACGAAGGGCCTCATCGTTGATATGCATGATACGGTCACGGCTGACTAATGCATGTCCATGTACAATGCGTCCAAGAAACTAATAGCTGCTGGCGCAGGCCGTTGCAGACTGCCCACGCGGAACGTTCTTTAAGATTCTGTCAAGTATATGACTAACCAGTTCAAATTCAATGTTCGACTAGACTCAGAGGGCTTCGTCTGTCCAGCTGTAAGGACCAAAGAAACGCTTGAATCAGTCCTTCAACCTTTTTCTCCTCCTTCTTGCCCCCCTCAATACAAGGGAACACCCAGCAAGACCTCTCGTCTGCACACAAATTGCTCTTTTCATCGGAACACGGACCTACTTTTATACTGTAATCAATCAAATTGCTGCGGGGTTAAAACTAGTAAATGAAATACACTTTCAACCGAAGGACACAGTGCGACACAACACCAAATTGGTTGCACACCATCTACATCAAAATCGAGCAGAAACGCCCCCGGGGCAAAAAGCGTAACTTGCTATTTAGACCGTCTCTTAAATTACACTCTTGTGCCTTCGAAGCCACAGCTATCAGGAGGCCCCGTCGCGTCTTGCTCAACACCCCCACGCGCTCCAACCTCGGCAGCGCTGCACAATCGAAAGGATGCCGAGCAGGCGGGTTCCCCACCTCCACCCAGCAACCCCTCCGTGCTCCCCGCCCCGCCACCGGACACAGAAGCCGGCGACAGACATGGGCCAGAGGGTGCTACCCAGACCGCCATCGTCGCACCCGACACCGGGTCTTTACACGTAGGGGGCAGAAAAGTTACCCCAAACACGCTGTTTCGCCCATCGGTGGCCAAAGAACCGGGTTTGGGTGGTCCCGGGGTGGGGGGTGGCGGGGGCATTGAAGCGTTCTCGTGCGCCGTTTTCTCGCCGCGGAACCCGGCTTTCCACCGGTGCCTCAAGCCGTCCCCCGCGAAGAACAGGAGCAGGCAAGCGAACGCTGCCTGCTTCCAGCCCTGTGCCCCAGCGGTGGAGGGCACAGAAACTCCCTCCCCCTCCCCCTCCCCAGGTGGAGCACCCTGCCCCGCCGTTTCTTGCACAGCATTGCCGGGAGCTTTACCTGCGTCTACCCTGGGGGAGGGCGGGGATGCGCCCTCCAGAGGGACCCTCGAGGAGGCGGCTCTCGCGACGGTGTCATCCAGGCTGTCTTCGTTCGGAGCCTCCAGTTGCAGCTCCAGGCCCAGGGGCTGCCCCCGCAGGACGGATTCGAAGTGTTCGGAGGTAAACCTCGGCAGCCTGGCGTTTCCGTCGCGCTGGTACTCGACGGCGGGGGGGCGAGCGCCGCTCAAGACGCTCTCCGTCCCGTCATTCTCGCCACCACTGCGACACCCCGCAGTAAATCCCGCGCCGAACGTCATCTCACACGCCTCCTCCGCCGTGTCACCCCCCACCCCGTCGTCTCCAGCTCCCGTGACGGTGCTCGCTCGCTCACGATTGCCCGCGCACTGTCCGCCGAGAGTAGGCAGGGCGGGGACGGCACCCGCTGCCGCCGCCGCCGCTGCCGCCGCAGCAGCATGGGCAGGCCAGCCCCTAGGGCTCGACGGTGCGCTGCGCGAGGTGTCACCGGGAGGGGGCGCCACGGGCGCGGTGCCGCCGGCTGCGCCAAGGAATGTCCTCAGCGGCGTATCCCCCGCGAGATCCGCCTGCCTGATGACAGGCGTGACGACGGTGCGGTGGTCCGCATCCGCCGGGTCGTTGCTGCTCGGCCGCCCTTCCCCGCTTCGGCTAGGGCAGCAGCCTTCGGGCCCACCGCCGGCGAGAACGCTTCCGTCGCTGCCGCCTCTTTCGTGGCCCGCGCTCCTCGGTCCTCCCGCGCGACCGCTTTCTCGGTGAGCTCGCTCTGCGCGGGCCTCGCGCACAAGGTCATCCAACGTCTGTTCGCCGCCCGCGGCACACACGGGGCCCCCGTTGACCTCCGGTTCTTCCACGGTGGGGCCGACCACATCCTCGGCAGGTCCAAGGTTAGGCTCCGTCCTGTCACCGCCTGCAGGGGGTGCGTGCGCGTCCCCCGCCGCTAACCCGAAGTTGGCATCAGCTGTGGCCCCGGCGGCGGCGTTGGCCGCCGCTCTCCTGGCGATGCCGGCCATGTGCTCCATCTCGAGAGCATGCTCGACGTTGACGGTGAACTCGGCGGCCAGGATGGTGGCCTCGCGAGAGTTGGCGAGTTCCACCAGGCGAACGATGACATCAGCGAGGTCCTGCGAGCCACGAGGAGGTTGTCTTGGAGGTTACTGTTCGACAAGAGTCGTCGTTCTTGTTATGGCCGAGGGTTTCTAGATGCACTCCGAAGACGGGCTTCGCCCCGTGACACGCCATCAACAAACAGTGAAGGAAACCTAAAATCCAGCGCTGTTTCGCTAGACCCGAAGAGGAGCGGACGGTCAGACACTCTCCCTCCCCCCGAAAAACAACTCAAGCTAAGTACACAACTCAGAGCTCACGAGTTGCTGCTCACACCTTGACAAAGATCTTGGTGTGGCGGCTCGCTAGCGCGTCCATCCCCCTGGCCGCGACAACGGCCCCCTGCTGGATAAAATTCTTCGCCTCGGGGGTATCGAGAGCCTCGGCGAGCTTCACCAGCCCGGTCGCTGACTCCAGCAAGAACTGCCTCCCCGCAGGAGACGAAACCGCCGTCGACAACGACCCCGTCGCCCGGCCGCTTGACCGCAACAGCTCGACCCCAGCCGGGGTCTGCACGAGGCCCGCGGCGTTGAGCCCGAAGTTCCCGACCACGCGGGCAAGGTCCCGCGCCCGCTGCGGGGTGAAGGCCTTGACCGTCGTCAGGACCGAGCCCACGAGCCCCCACGGGCTGGCCATGCGGATGACGGGGGCGACCGCGACCTCGTTCACCGTGCCCCCCGCCCACTTGAGCGCGTCGATCGTGCCCCAGAGGGGCCACAGCGCCCAGTCCAGTAGCCCGAAACCGCCGGCACCGCCGTTGCTGCTATTGCCGGCAACGCCGGCGCCGACACCGTTCGCACGGGGGAGCAAGCCGCCGCCACCGCCGTGAACGCCAACACCAACGCCAACGCCAACGCCTGCGCTGTGTTGGACGGGAATCGTAGTGGTGGCTGTAGCGGCGTTTGGAACCCGTGCGGGGCCTGCCATAGGCCCGGTGTAGGGTGGTCTGCTATCCGCGCCCTCGATGTTGCGGGGCTGGCTCCGCGAGTCCGAGGGCTGCTGTTTCGTTTGCGGCGGGAAACAAGGACGGGTTGTTCTTAAGGAGCAAAGGGCTAGCGGTACGAAGAGTTCGGACGGAAGTGCCAACAATGCTGTTTTCGAGAGGGACACATCCCACCCAAAGGAAATAGTAGGTTTACATCGTACTGGGAGCGCGAGGTACCAAAAGGCGGTGCCGTCTGCGTCATTGCAACTCATGGCTGCGGTTATCATGGGCCAGGCCGGCATGTTCCCAATCAGGCGTGAGCCCGTTTTTCAAAGCAACAAGAAATAGGGCGCGATCATCTACGGGCGTCCCACTTGACTCACACAATGCACGACGTTATGATCCGCCATCAATCTAACCCCCATGGCCTGCTCCTTTGCTCACTTGCGCATTAGTACCCCCGATACTCAAACCCCGCCATTGTATCTCTTGTCTTCATGGCACACCGTTCACGCGGGGCTGTACAAGTATGACGGAAAACCAGACATAATACCTATGGAGTTTGACGGAGAACTACGTAGACTTGGCGGAAATTTCTCGCGGAGTTTTTGATCACGATGTGTGCCTTTGCCCCGATTTGTGGAGGCTGTTTCAGGGATGAAAAACGATAGATAGCAGTCTCCTCGTGAAATATAGGCATGGATGACTTGCGTTTTTGTTTCTACCTGTTCGCCATTGCTGTGCGCTTGGCATCCGAACCCCAGGTCGTCTACCGCTAGCGCGCTTGATATGGCCGCGTCGACGTCTTCCCGGGCCGGGATAGCCGTGGGCCCATGGGAAAGGACCTCGCTGAACCTCTGGGAAGATCGCCTTTTTCACACGAACAGGAGGAAGTGCGAGCGGAAAGAAACAATCGTCAAGATAATTGAACGACTTTGGGATGCTTCGGTCGATCGGTTTGGCGGATGCGGCAACGCGTGGACCCAACCATCCAGGAGGAACCGAGCGAGAATTCTCAACGAAGGCATGAGTTCCTGTAGACTGATCTCCTTTCGTCTTGCCTATAGAACATGCAAACATAGTACACCGACATCCCCAGGGTCCCTCTCAGCTATGTACCGTGAAACACACGCATATATTGACCCCCTCGAAAGAGGAGCACTAGTGCGGGGCACGACAACATGACACGCTGAGAAGGAAGCAAGGGTCCAGTGAGACGAACATGAGTCAAACATTGCGATAGACTGAGACAGCAACAGCTCTGACAAGATAACTTGCTATTAATAAGAACCTGTGTGTATGTGCGCGGTGATAATATGCTGCGTCTCATACGAGTACAACGGCAAGAGAGCAGGAGAACCACGAGCGGCAAGGATACTCTCTGCACCCTGAGCTACCGTCGCCGTCCAGCTGCCGCAGTGCAGTACAGGTGCACGTTACGAAGTTGAACATCATCATCGCTCACCGAACGGTTCAACCAAGTTTGTGGTCTCGCGCTGCAGTTACTAGCAGTAGGCGACAATCTACAGCAAGAGCCCTGCACACCTCGACGCATCGTAGAAAAGACAAGCACTACCTCAGTTCTCACCCACTAGACCTCAAGCTCTCGCCCGAGCTCATCTTCCTCCCTGGAAGATGTTGTGTGTTACTATCCGACCTCGGCAGCACGCCGGCGGGTAGAATTATGTAGGATGTACAGCAGTGTGTAGCTCCCAGAGGGGGCGCTACTCCCAAAGTGTCCGCCCTACAGCAACGACATACAGACGCAACAGCAGTATACGGTCGCAAGTGGTACCGGACAGAGCATCTCTTGGTCAATCGGAGCAGGCACCGAGCAGGGAGTGCAAACGGGGGTGCCGCATGTTGTATGTGGGCTGGAGGTAGGCCATCATTCTAGTCTACATATACATGTAAATGAACCTACGCAGATGTTTTTGTGCTAAGCACCAACTGGTATCACTGATATAAATCATCAGTGTATAGGCTTAAACAAACTCGAAATAAGTCAAGTACCCAGCTGGTTTTCCTCTACTCACTACTCACTGTAAAGACTTCAACACATCCCCTTCGAGTGTAGTTATACCTCGAACGGGTAGTCTTTCTGTGTGTATATTCGTTTCTCCTAAATTAGATATGCAGCAGGCAGATGGGCGCCTTCCTCGCAAAAGTGTCTCCGTATCTCGTCGAGTTTCCGTCGGTAAGAAAAAAAATAACCGGTTCTAGGTCCATTTCCGGCAGAAGAATCCATTTCCGGCATGGACAAAAAAATATACTTATTTTTTTCGCGCCACTTTTGGACGAAAATAAATGCGGCGGGATTCAATTCACAAGGAAGATCAACTCGGAGCGACTCGTCCACCCCGCCAATCGACTCCGCTTGGTCGAACTACCCATAAAGGAACTCACTGCAGGGTCTCCCGACCCCACCTCGACGAGATACTGCTCATTGCCTTCCCGTCGCCTGGACGGTGGCGGCTGCTGCCACCATGCTGAGGCGCGATATCAAAATTGCGGGAGAAACGAGGGTCATCAAGCACAGCTGGCGCACGCACGCCAGGGGCTATCACCTGACCTCCACGCTGCTGAAGAAGGGCACTGAGGCTGCGGCTACCAAGGCAATAGGCTCTGTGGTGGATGACCTCGAGGGCGTTGTACATATGGCCCGAGAGCATGTTGATGACCTCCGAGAACGGGCT